AGGGAAAGCTTGTTTTGAAAATGAACCGTGGGGCGGGGGAGGGGGGAGGGAGGGGGGAGGGGGGCGGAGGGGTAGGGGGGGCGTGCTCCTCCCTGCCAATGGCGGGTGAGGGTCACTGGGAGGGGATTAAGGGTGGAGAATAGAGGGAATCCGAAGCTTCGGCCGGGGCCGAGGCGAATTATCACTTGCGCCTTCGGAGCCCGCTCCAAGCTTTCTAACGACTCCTGGATCTCGAAGGCTGTGGAGGATTCCACCGGCGATGCAGCCCGAGATGTCAAAGATGCGGCTCTTCCGTCGGCCATTGTGCCGTCGGAAGGTATGATCTCCTGGTTTAGGACTACGGGCTTGGGTTTAAATCCTCGTGCGTCAGCATGGATGCAGTCTGAGCTCGACATGCTGCTGTCACGCAGGAGTGAAGATGCAGCAGCGAGTTGGAAGAGCCGTGTGGGACCCTTCACTGCCACCTGTCTGCACCATGACAGAAGCCATGGACTTTCCCAAATTTCCGCCTGCCTCGGCTCTGAGGCAGAGGCAAAGGCGGGCAGCGTTCGCACGGCCACCCGTCACTACGGAGCAGAGCTGAAGCATGTGTATGGTGACAGCTGCTTGGATTCAAGTATGTGCTTGGTGCAGACAGCGGCGCACTCGGCATGTGCTGTGCATTCAAGGCAAGTCAAGCTTCAGCTTTGGAGACATTGTGCCAGCCACCTTTACGAAGCTGTGATGCAGGTGTTGAAGGCCAAGCATGTTTACGCCAATGTTGCAGTTTCCGGCTATGTCGCTGTTGCATGCCTCATCACTGCTTGCTGTTTATGATCCGAGGATGTGTTCCCTGTCGGCCTACACCGGAATTGCGCAGGGGAAGATTCTACGTGGAGAGAGACCTGCTTTCAAACAGAAAAGACCATGAGGGCTTATGACTGCCTGATGGAAGCATGATGGAGTAGAATTGCACTGCGGTTTGGTATGCATTTTGCTGACTCTACTCTTCTGAACCGTTGATTGGTTGATTGCAAGCTTCGAGGAGCTTCTGGCATGGCCATGCCGATGGGCAAGCGGGCAGCGTCTTCTACGGCGGCCAGTGGGTGCGAGACGAGAAGAATCTGACCGGAACTCGAAGCTGGATTGTTGCCTGCCCCAAGTCTATGCTGCAGGCAGACCTAACCGAACCCTGCTGTCAACCGCTGTCAACCGTACAGACATATCGTTGTTGAATCTTGCCTGGCGCTCTTGCTTGTTGATTTGAGGCTCTTTGTGCTTCGAATCAACACGAGTACATCTTCTTGGATGGCGCGAGTCTTAGAAGATGAATCAGCGGCTTCGTGACGGCTCAGAAGCGTGCCTGCATGCAACCCCAAGGTGTTGAGGTTCCTGCCAAGTTTGCAGGGGGCGGAGGCAACACAGCAATCGGTGTGAACGATGGTCCTGAAGACGTGCCATGTCAGCACTGTCCCTTCCAGTCCGGTCGTAGATTGGCAGATCACGCATAGCTGCGAGCCCAGGAACATTCAGACTGGGCAGTAGCGGAAGTCATGACCTGGGATCGAGTCTTGACCCGCGACCTGGCGGCGACGTTGGGGTGTGGTCTTTTGCGCATTTGTTCGCACGTTGGCCTCTCTGAGCCGAGGCTCCGAGATGGTGGACGTGCAAAATTACCTCCGAGCGAAGGCCAAAACGTGCCAACCGGAGCAATCGGCACAGCGGGAGCCCTGGGCGCTAGGGCTAGGGCCTCTCTTGCGGACGGTGTCTCGTAAGATGCAACACATCTTAGTGAGGTGCGATACGGCCCCGTGTGTGTCGCTCTTCGTACTTCGGTCTCAATTACGTTGCAGTTTTCGAGGCCGTCGGCAGTGTCTGGCCATAGCAAACGCCCGTAGGTCGGTCCAAACCGGCACAATGTCATGTTCCGCAACGACGATGGGACAGCGACAGCAGCTCGGATGACATGCATCGATTGGCGATCGGAGTCCTGCCCTTCATTTCATGCATTGAACTGTGTGTGTCATTCGCGCTTCAGGTCAAGACCTACAGTGGGACGCCGATTAGCTGTGTTTGCAAAGGACATCTGCAAGCTGCGCTGGCAGTGTCATTGTGAAAGTCAGGGCTTTGCATGTCAGGACACTGTGTCGGGCTGGTGGGCTCTTGGAGATGCGACGATGGACCCTTCGGTGGACACTACACCATCAGTCCGAGCTACAGCGACGACTGGACACCCGAGACTAATCGTGACAGCCTGCTGCTTTGCACAGTCGCAAGGCCGGGTGCAAGGCGCAAGAATGACGGCCTTGTGGTCTATAGTTTTGTGGAAGGCCTGTCTGGTCAGAGAAGGGCGAGGTCGACAGCAAACGCTTCGCCCTTCAAGCGGGTGCGTCGAAAGAACTCGTCAAGGACTTCCTGCTCCTTGCTGTCATAGCCATAGTCTGCTCACGATGGGCAGCATGCCGATGGATGGTTCTCGTAGACGTGGGACCAGGACACGTCTTTCACCTTGACTGCGACAATCCGACGAGATGCCGGCGGTGGGCCCCAGCATCCTGGAAGCATTATGGCCGAATGCGAGAAGATGCACATGATATGTTGATGCCAGGACGCTGTTCAGCTCCAGCCATGACCGACCCCGTTGCAATCGGTTTGCAAAGTTTACACGTTGATTTCACTGTGACGAGAGAGGGCATGACCGGACGCTTGGAGGAGTCTTCCATCGTGGACAAGGATCTTCGAGTATTTGTCAACGCGGACCGTGCAGAGAGATCGGCCAATGCAGATAGCAACATCGCAGTGCATAGATTCCTGATGGCATTTTGCCGACCTGGTTGCCAGGACTCAACGTTCACCTTCCACTTCGGTTTCATGGCTGATTCTGGCGGCATTTCTTGTGTTGAGACGAGCTTTTGTTGGACACCACGCCTGACAGCTGTGCATGACCCAGCGAGCTAAAGCTGAGGCGGCCAATCCTGCCAGACAGCACCAACAGAGAAGAGTGTGGCCAGTGAGTGGCAGCATTTGGCTTTCATGTACGATATGGAGCAGATGCTTGGCTCAGAATCCATGAGCTGGCGAGTTCAAGAACCTGCAGAGCTGCTTCGGCTTGTTTAGAAGCTGAGGAACGAGACCAGGATTTATCTCAACGCCCTCGAGATTAAGTCCTGTGCCTTTACGTCCCTTAGATGCACTCTTGCCGACCTCGTGAACTGCCGAAGACTCAAGAAGACCTTCGAGTCATTGTTTAGTGCTGCAGACCGACGCATGTCCTCAGACCTCAACATGCTTGCTCGTGGGGAAAAGCCATCAGCACCGACGAATGTTTGTCAGTTGGCTTAGGTCGTCATTCTCGCCTGATGATGCTGCAAAGTTAGTACTTGGCGCTTACAAAGACTCGAACATGTGGATCGGAGCAATGAAGGACTGAAGCTGGGGTAGCTACGTCAAAAACTCAATCATGTGGTTGGCCGGAGTTTGCCGCACATGCCAGGAAAGTGCGATCTACGCGCAGACTTTGAGTACACCACTCATCGGGCGCTTGGCAGGTGATTTGGCGCTGCCGAAGGCAGGTGTCTTTCCCGTCACTCCCTGAAACCTCATAGCCCCCGGTCTGCCATCGCTGTAGGCAATGGTGTGGTTTTCACATGAAGACAGCTGGAATCGAAAGAGCTTCGTCGAGGCTGTTAGCTTCTGTGCGAAGCGCAAGATGAAGCGACTCATCTGTATGCTGTGGGACAATGGGGAAAGGCTTCAGGGTCACAAGTAAGACTGCCCAAGTGCACATTGATATTTTTGGAACACCGATGGTCCCGTAGCGTGAGAGCGTGGTCAAATGTTCATGCAGCACAACGACAAGTGTAGTGATGAGGTTGGCGCATTTCGAAGACTATTGCACGCAGAACAGTGATGGAGTCTTCACTGTCCGTCCTCGGGTGGCTCCTGGCGACCAGTGGGCCGCATACGCAGGTCCGGTGCTTGGCAGTCCCTTTTCAACCCAGGGTGATTCTTGCCCGAGCTCGAGTGGCCTCCGACGTTGGTCGGGATATGATTGATGTGCGGTTGTAAAAATGCAGAAACAGATTTCCTGCTTTTTGCAGATTGCATTGTCGCACAACCAGACCCAGGTGCGCAGGAGAATTCCTGGGTGCAGATCGGCAATGGAGCCAGCACGAAAAGTCCGGTGGAGCCCTGCAAGACCTACGAGCAGCAGTTTGGCGACAAGCCCGTCTGGGGAATGGATGGAAACGCCTACCGATACAAATCCTTTCTTGCCTGCAAGGCCTCCTATGGATTCATCCCGTATTCTGCTGACAAGGGACAAGGGAAGTGCGAGAAGGGTGACCTCATACCGCACGACAACGCGGCCAAAACTGAATCTGCCTGCAAGATGCATTGTGTCAAGGAAAGCAGTTGTGCATTTGCAAGTTGGTCAGCTGCAGAACAAGATGGAACGTGCTCGTTGTTTTCCACTTGCGACACCTGGACTGCTTCATCATCATCCATGACGTGGATAAAGAAGCCGCTGCGCTGAGCCTTTCTGCTGGTCCCCTCTGCCAGTGGCGCCGCTGCTGGGGACTTGAACTAGTCGGACAAGATCTGCTGCAATGCCCGCTATACTTGAGTGATTGGGCACGGACGGTCAACTCAAAAGGAGCTGCTTGCATGAGTGCACTTGTGGACGCAAGCCTTGCAATGCTTCTGCTCATGCCACATATGAGAATCTTCATTGTGTTGTGGAAGGCGCTTCTAGTTTTAAGCTCCCTTCCGCCCATCCACGAGCCCGAGGACATGTGGTTTGCGCGCGATCGGTAGCCTCTTTGCCTTGGTGCTGTTTTTCAGGACGGCTAAGGAAGGGGCCAAAGCTCCGCTCTTGGAAAGATCTCTTCGTGCCATGCTTTTCGCCGCTGCGCTCCTTGCAGCGAGGCCGCCCCGAAGCCTGAGAGAGGCACAGGCGCTGTACAGCCATCGCGACCTGAGAATCCTCCCATCCCCTCCAAATCTTGGTCAGCCGTTCAAGCCGGGCGCGGCATCTTGCGTGATCTTAAGGAGGCAGCAGGTTGCGGGGTATGGATCTGTATCTGTGAGGGGAGGGTAAGGTGGCTCGAACTGCACATGTTCAAGTTGTACAGCAGAACAGTCAGAGCATAAATTATCCAAGCTTGACAGCGGAAGCAACAACCCCAGCAACCCGCACCCGCACTCCGATTTCCCAATCCTCTGTCCTTGCAGCGTCTGGAGTGCTGTGCCGTCGCCTCAGACGCCAGTCTCAGCACGCACAAGGTGTGCTTCCCGAATTCCGTCTCGGAACGTGCAAATGATGGATGGCTGAGGTACCTGATAAGACTCTTGCCATGGCAACATTGTGGGAGCAGGGTGCAGCTGACAGACAGGCTCGGCAAAGACTGCGTCACAGCCCTCTGCTAAAGACTCCCTCTTTTCCTCGCATCCCCCGATGGATGATTGTTCAAGCCGTTTGAGTTTCCTGTCCCTGATTGTGAACTGTCCCCTCGTTCAAAAATTCGGGCCCTTAGAGCCCCAGCTTTAAAGGCGTGCTGCACATCACCTGATCAGAGAGCCTCCTCAGGACCGTGCAGTGGGAGCCATTGATGACATTCTTGACAGCCGCAACGTTGTTGATGCGTGCTTCCTATGTGTAGCTCCGGGTTTCTACTCTTCTGAGATCATAGAGACCCCCAGGCAAATAGCAGATCACCGCGATCGCATAAGCCACTGCATGCGCATTGAGCCAGGGGTTTGCCATGCATTGGACCCAACAAAAAGTTGCAGTCGTTTGCAAGGGAGTGCTCCCCCCTCCCCAGCTCCTCCCACTCTGCCTCCCTTCCTTTCTTTCTGGATGCCTCCTCACTCGCCCCATCCTCTCCTTCCCTCCTTCCCTCGCTTTCCCGCACCTCCGCCGCGAAGCCCAAACACACCTGAAGCAAATCCATGTTCACGTGAAGCAGCTTTTCGGGATGCAGTTCGAAATTTCTTGAAGCCTCCAGGTGGTGATCGATGCAGGAGCCGCCATTCGTCTGAAGCGCCTGGGTTGAAGCAGCTAGCAGATTCCGAAAGCTCTCTAGTGTCTCCTGCTTCCCAAAACTCGAAAGAGGGGTGTGAGAGATTGCTTCTGGACGCAGTGCGCCCGATGCTTCCTGTCTAGAACGCGCATGGTGTGCTCGTCTTCCAGCGCCAGAGCAATGGCCGTTGGTTTTGCGAAGTTTCCTGTTTCCTAAGGCGATTAGAACGCTTCGGAGGGGAGCTCCTCACAACGAGTGGGGTTTATGCCGAGGCACCGGCCCAATGCCGCATGTCTTCAAGCAGCGAGCAAAGCCTTTTCAGGTGCGAGACGAGCATGCAAGAGCCCTTCTGCAGACGCTGCCCGTTGAGCTGAAGGCACTTGATCTCTGGTTATGTCGCAGAATGTCGCAGACAGCTGGAGGGCCAATTATGATCAATTATGCACCTTGACGTGATTCGAGGTCCTGGAGCCTCGACCAGAGGACTTCCCACAGTCAGAGAGATACCGGTATCTGTACTGCCTCATGTCGCTTCCTGCAGCTGTTTTATCAAGTGCACTTGGGTGCCTCAGCTAGCAAGCTGTGACCGTTGCTTCCGGATGGCAGCCCATTCGCGACCGGTGTTCAGGCCGACTGCTGTGTTGTCTTTTGCCTGCGGGTAGTTGCGTCATCTCTTCATGGACACGGCATTTTGGGCCTCGATCTCCAGAAGCGGGGACACAGCTGATACGATGCAAAACTGTGTGTTTAACTAGACACCTCAACAGGAGAAACGTTGAAGCTTTTGACAAGGCACTGTAGGACAGTGTTGCGGCCATGGGATCCGAGCAGTCGCTCCCTGTTGCTGCCTTCAGCCTCGGTGATAGTCCCGTTCAGCTGCGCGGCCTGTGAAGCCCTTCATGCTCACCAAGAGCTTTATGCAGGTCGTCAGAAGAAGCATCATGCTTTTAACTGAGGCTTGCTGCCACGGTTCTATTCCACGTTCCCTCAGCCTCAAAGCTTCGGGGATCTGCCTGTTGCTCAGAGTCAGATGCACTGACAAACTGCTTGCTCTGCTTGCTGCTCTGAGGAGCCGCTAGATGCCTACCATACCTCCATCGTCGTGGGCCAGGCCTGCTCCGCTTCTGCATTTTTCCGTCAGCAGCTGTTGCTCTGTCTTAACCCGTCAGGTGGAGTATTCGTTCAGTGGCCAGGGAATCCGGGCACCCCAGCGGCATGTGGCGTGTACCTTTGGGGCCATGCGGCAACTTCCGTGCAGCAGCCCCTCAGCTCTTCGTAACACCACGATTGCGGAACACCAAGGAAACGAAACCCTTGGTTTCCCATTCCATGCTCAAGCAGAACACTGAAGTGCAGCTTGGTTTGTTTGGTCATCGAATGGGAAGTTGTCGTGACACGGGCATCAAGCCTGGTGGCTGGCTCTGCAAATTTGCTTCTTTCTGCCAACATTCAGGAAAACCATTGGGCATACGCCCTTCTCCGGCTATCAGGCCTGGATCCGGTAACCACCCGCCTTTGTCCAGGGCCCTGCGGCAGCGCGTAATCCCTATTATGGCATGGGTGCGTTCTGTGGCGAGCCCTTCTCTTGATCAGATGGCGGCATTGCTGAACCAGTTCTTCCAACCTGCTACCTACGCATCTCGTCCTGTGCGAATTAAGGCAGTGCGCTGGAACGCGAGCCATACCTTGTTGCACAGTTTTTCATCACGAAACTGAGCTCGTCAAGCAGTGGGCTTGAAATCTGAGGATCTGCTGTGCAAGAATTGCAACAGCTTCTCTGATTGTGCAAGGCCCTGAGCTTGCGATCGACACGATACCGCAACGCGACAAAACATACCAGCTGGCAGCGAATCAAACTAAAGCTCAGTGCTGCATTGCATTCCCGCCTTCGTTTATTACAGTATGGAAAATGCCCAGGCCCTGTACTTTCTGCTCGGGCAGCGGCTGGAGGCATCGTCGCGTCTCGAGCCTCACAGTGTGACGAGTTGCCTACTTTCCCGGCCGCAGGGAAAGTACTGCAGGATGGAAAAGTATGGAAGGACTGGGCAGACCCTTGACTCAATGCAGATGGCACGGGTCCGTCGTTTCACGGTCCGGCACCGCCGTCAGCTAAGAGATGTCCGGGGCTTGCCGGTCCTTGGGCTGTCAAGAGAATCGTCACAAGAAGAAGCTGTGTCGCATTCCATGCAGGCAGGCTATGTGCTAGGACATGGGTACATCATTCTTCTCTTCAGTACCTTTGTCCTGTCGCCTTTGCTTGGAATGCGGTAGAGTCCCGAACGACCTTGCTGAGGAAGCGGATTGGCTTGATGTCTGGACTGAGGCTTCTAGGCGAGAGCCAGTCGAGCCAATGGAACTCCCAGTTGGCGAATGACCTCCAAGGGCTAATTGAATAAGGATTTGCTAAGCGAGAGGCGGAAGGTCCTCGAGCCTTCCAGAGCACCTTGGCCGCAGCTGCGCTATGGCTTGACCTTGTGGGCAGGCATGAATTACCATCCGAACCCGAGCTCTCAGAGCTTCCAGGCCCAGAGACTTGCAGCGATTGCGACGTTGACTCCTGATCGTCTCGTGACTTCTCACACACGGGCCATGCTGAACAGGTTGAGCAAGTCATCCAGAGGATCAAGGCTTACAAGGGACCTGGTCACGTGGACTGGTCTTCGAAAATCTCAACATGGCTCACGCATCAACATTGTTTTTACGCAGCTGCGTTGAAGTCGTTCCAGAGGGGTGCCTGGCAGGAGCTGCAGGATGGTCATTCGCCCTCGGAGCCCTGCTGCTGTCACCTCTTCTTTTGAGTTCCGGGGATGCCCGCAGATCTGCTTCATTTCTTGTGACATGATCTGCTGGCCGGATATCAAACGGGGGCATTGACAAAAGAGTACATGTCGTGACGACATGCGCTCTCTTGAGCCACACATTCACGTGAAATCGTTGGCCTGTGTGGATCTGATCGGCTTTGAAATTTGCCGGTACGGCAAAAGTTGTTAGCTACTCGTAAGTTTGATGGGATTGAGCGGAGCGGAGCAGCGCGAAGCTGTGAGCTACGCAGCTACAGCTACACGCTACAGCACCGCTGTAGTCTTCTTTGCTACCTGTCAAAGGCAGGCACGCTTTGGACTTGCCCGGTCTCCCGCGTGATAGAAAAGATTCGCGGTTTCGTTTTCTGCTACCTTGACGAAAGTCGCATGACGAGATTCAGCGGACTATCCACCAGGCGAGCGGCCAGACGACCTGTTGGGTGCGCATGGACTGCATGCACGAGGACCAGCGTGGCGGGAGCCGGCACGTGGTTTTCGGATGTTTTAGGCAAGATTCTGCACAGCCCATCCTGAATCCTGGGTCGGCGGTGTTTTGGAGGCAGAGGGTTGCTGTGAAATCGATGTGTGACTGAGGAGGCTGCAGTTCACGCCTCGCCACGAGTCGCGCGTGGCGGCCGTCCTGCTAGAAGCGCTGGAAAATTGCAGCGCGTTTGTGGATTCTGTGACAATCAATCGGTGCCTCAGCAGTTGTACATCGACTCAACTTAAGACATTTAAGATGGGTGTGATGCACGACACGCTCAGTCGTTGCAAAAGCTGCCTGGTGTGTGTCGTGCGGGTGCCGGTCCTGCATCCGAACGGGGCTCTCTGCGGATGTACCTCCGCCGCAGCTTCGCATCATCGTGTGTCACTGTTTTGCTGCTGTGGCAGGACATTGTCTTTGCAAAGCAATTTTCCAAGGTGCGTGCAGGCAGGGGTTCGCGAACGCGCGTGTCTGTGGAATGTGTGCGCAAGGCCACAGGTGACTTTGGCTTTTTGTCTACGAACGACCTCGATTTGATTGCAAGGGGCCCGGAGTGGCCCCGTGGTTCCATGCAGGCATCTGCCAGATGTTTGTAGCTTCCCTGTTCGGTCGAGGCACTCACCGTGCGGCTGCACCGCGAGGCTTCAGTAGCAGACTGGATGTCAGATCCGGGCCCTGACGTCGTCGCAGGCACATTTGTCCCTCAAAGACCGACCTGCAGCGCTGGAGACTCGCAGCGAAGGATCGGGCGCGCCGGCTTCGAAGCAGATGGACATTCACGATGTTCGATTGGTGAGACGAGGACGTGCCGTTCCGTTTGATTGGGGTCCACAGCGTGCCCCTGCAACGACCTCCACCGATGCAGGCCTGCTTGCTGTTGTTGATTCTGCATTGGTGGAAACTGGCCAACCCTGTACAAACACATAGATAGGCTCGGGACACGAAAACGTAAGCGAAGCTGAAGCTACTAGACGACTAGATTCGATGGCCTTGCGTGGTGCACTAGTCGTGGAAGTAGAATGTAGAACCCAATGTTCATGTGGTGACAGCACCGGCCGGTTCTGTCCCAGAACGATTTTGATCAGTGAAGGGATGAACGGTCGGTTCTGAAAACTTATGACTCTGACTGGAGGTGGTGTGCAGCAGCCTGCGACAGAAGAGGATGCGCAAGGTCGTAACCTTGACACTCCTTGGTCGGCTGTCTGTGCGTATTCAGAGGCGACGATGGTTGGGCTGTAGCACGTGGACGTCGTACGAGGGGGGTTTTGGCCCTGGCCTGTCCACTTTGCCCAGCTGCACTGCTAAAGTCTCTTGTGGAACGGCAGGCAAGGGCGGGAGGTCTGAAGAGTGATGGACAGCGAGCAGCAGAGCTTCCACAGTCTGTCGAGGATGGGATAGGATTTCAATTCTTCAGCCCAGCTGCGCCGAATCTCATCAGTGGGAGGACGCCCGTCCAGACGAGGAAGCGAAGACCATGACCCCTCCGGATCAGCTCCGAACCAAGTCGTGCCGCTGAATGTGTCAGATGATTTGCATGTTAGCGACTGTTACGGACCATGCTCAGACTGAGGACGACCACGACGGCCCCATCTGTTGACACCGAGGGCGGTGGCATCCCAAAGTCAGACGACGAGCAGCTCCGGCGGGAATTTGTGAGAACTTTGTCTGTACTTCAGTCAGAATCGTGTCGGTGCGACGTGCTACGGCTCTGCTCGATCCTTGCATGGGACCCTTTGCGCCAGCGGGAGAAGACGGGCCCAAATTCGAAGCTCCGGCATGCCATGTGGGTGAATTGCTGGCAACGCTTCCCTCACTAAAGCTTCTTTGCATTGCGTACATCGTACTGGTGAGTTCTCTGAGCATACTCGTATGGCGCCGGGTTGTGACGGAGAGCCACGAGACCAGTACAGTAGGTGCGGGTGTTTTCATCTCTCGCTGCACCTGCAGTACCGACCCCGCCTCTTTCTGATTTTGTTATGCTGGTAAGAGACTTGTGTTCATTCGGTTCTCACAGTTTTCTGACTTTTTTGTTCCGTTTCCAGACTCGTTCTTCGATTGGACCTGGAACACATTGCCAGCTGCTAGGCTTTGTGACAAGAACTTGTCATGGAGTGATGATCTCTTGCGTATCTTTCTCTAGCCAAGGTGCCATGATCTTCGTCTTTGTCGATCTTGTGATGTTGTGGTACACTTCAGTCTTTTTGTTTCTGTCAGCCAGTTCCGCTCTGTGCTGGCCCAGTTGTTACGAAAGCTCCCTCCGTGTTCCGCCCCCGCGGAGCTTGCCCCCGGCTTGTGAGCTTTCGTCACCCCCCTTGTAGCGCAAGTTCCGCTGCCCTTTCCGGCTTGCCTACAACGTCGGATTCCTTGTGACCCTACCGTCAGACTCGTTGCATCCCATGAACAGCGAGCGACCCAAGAGCAAACTAGATGTTGCCGTTGATATCGTGCAGCGGCAGACCCGGTAGCAATAAGTGTCTGGTAGTTCTTGTCGTAGCCTCGCATGGTCAGAAAACCAATGAACCCAGAAGTTAAGTAAATCAAATCTCGATTTAATGGTTCATTTTTGACCTACCTTGGACCTTCTAAAGTCACAGCTAAGTCTGGCTTTAATTGATTGTTTATGCATTCATCCAATAAGCAGTTAAATCCAGAGCTTTGCTGTTTCGCTGCATGCCAGTAGAAGCTGCTTCGAGACCTGTGCCAGTCCGCTACCGGGACACACCATTAAGCCATGATTTCATTGCGTGATTTGGCGTCCTTATTGGTAACCACCGGTAACGTAGTTGGTTCCCATCAGGTTCGAAGGAAAGCTTCTCTAAACAAGTAAATTGCCGCAAGTCGCACCAAGCACTGGAAACATGGTTTTATTGGGCTTAGGGATTGCAAGCTCCGAACCTTCCGTGGGATCTTCCTTGAACTAGCTTGTACTGTTCTACTCACTTACGACTAGTTTGCTTTCAAGTTGAGGACTTTCAGGGCCAACAGTAAAATCAGAATTTAATTGGAAATCTTGGGAGCCATGTCCGAAAATTTCGTGGGTATCTTGTGATAGATAGAGCAAGCAAGCGGCACAATTAAATCATGATGTAAGTTTAACTCGTAATGCTGGAATCTCCAAACATGTAGTGACGATCTCGTGATTGATTCAGCTTGTCTCGCCTAGTCTAGTCTGCTATAGCTGCTATAGCATCGCCTAGCCTAGCCCATGATGGAAGCCCATAAAGTTGGGACATGACTATCCCCATGCCGTCAAGTTAAAGTGTAAGGAATCCAAGCACTCATCATCCTTAACCCATGTTCCAACTTGCCGGGGTTCGCTATAGAATCCAGTCTAGTCTAGTCCAGTCCAATCCAGTCTAGTCTAATCTGCTTTGTCTATAGTCTACAGTCTGTACGGTCTACAGTGTACAATATGACTATGCCTATGGCCAGAGGAGCTGTTACTAGTAGTGAGGCCCATAAAGACAGTCCATCAAGCATGCGGACCTTGCATCCCTGAGCCCACCTTACACCTTGAGCCTGAAACAGCAGTCCTGGGAGGCAATTATTTGATGATTTTCTCGTTGTGTTCTTGCCAACTCTTCGAGAGAATTAAAGTCCGATTTAGTTGTAGTCAGGTTTGGTCATTGACCATTAAATTTTGATTTTATTTGTCGTCCAGGGTTGGGATAGTGTAGTAGGAAGAATAAAATCCTGATTCAATTGTATTTAGGTATCAGGACAGGCATGGAATGGAGCTTCGAGCAATGTTCAAGTCCAATTAAATCATAAGAAAATTGTGCTGGGCCCAAGGGGTCCAAGATGCCCCGATGCCGGGCAATAAAGTCCGTTTGTTTTTCCTCATGGTCACGTGTCTTCATTTGTCTGTAAGGCAAGCCGTTCGCGAGACGCAGGCAGGCTGCCTCGCTTCCTCCGCGTTTGCGATTTTTTTGGAGCTGTCAGGATGCCGGGGATGCTGGGGCAGAGCTGCAGGAGGCGCGCCGCGCACTGTCGACAGAGCTTCGCAGTCTGTGGAATCTGTGAGGATGGGGACCTAAGTGAAGATGGAAGTAGTGCCGGCGAGTGGGTCACAGAGGAGCGCCTAGGAGGGCTGACCGGGCCAAGGATGAACCTCCTGCTTCGGGACGGGCTGTTTCAATCACTGCTTCAGGAGAACATGCACAGATTTGGGATTGGTGACTGGCTCTCAGATTCTGCCGCGGACCTCCTGTGCTTCGAAGTTTTGCTGTTGCCGGTGATAGTTTTTCGACTGCTAAGATCCAACCGAAAGCTGACCTGCGTGTCACTTGTGCAACGGCCGACTACTCCGTGCAGAATGCGCCCCCCTCTCTCCCGCCCCCAACCGCACTGTGGTGCATTCAGCCTTTCGGTATGCTTGAAATTTTGGAGTGGCAGGGCAACTTCGGTAGGCACAGCCATGGCACGTCCAGACAGGTGCTCCACTGTCAAGATCTAGCTGGGTCTCAAAATTTCTTGATTTTTATCATTCTTCACGTGTGGTGGTTGGACTTGTTCGGGTACGGTTTGAGTGCTGCAAGACAAAGCTGGTCGCACCTCCGCCGTGGCGGCATGTTGTGCCTACGTGGGATGCTCGGTGCCAGATTCGGGCTGTTCATCTCCAGAATGTCCGGCCGCTTTCTAGCTGCGTATGCTCCGCTGCTGGGTGTTGATTTGCAGCGGCCTCCAAGTGTCTTCCCGATCCGCAGACTTGGGTGATGGCCTCCAGCAGTGCTGGCGCGCAGGCACTTCGGCTACTGGTACAACTAGAAGCAGATGTACTGGACCGGTAGCTTTAGATGTACGTCTTCCGCAATTCTAGCGGCATTCGCCATGATACTTGCATTTTCTAAAGAGACCAGTCGAACACGAAGCTTCTTGTCTTGGCCCTGGAGGTCTTCTGCAGCTCAGGGAGTGTGCTTCAGGTGAGCCCTCCGGCTGTTGCGATGATCTTCGAGGAATCCCATGGTCAGAATTGAAGGAGAGCAGCCTCTTCCAGGCGACTTGGACGGACTGGTTGCGATTGTTAGACTGGGCTCCTGGCCGCTGCCAGCGAATCCCGCAACCTGAAGGTGAGGTGTTGACCTGCGTATATCGTGACGGTTGTCTAGATCTGGAAGATGCTGCAGCCCTGCTGTCAAACTCGGACAGAACACAAGCTGTGCTTTGGACGGCGTGCGCTCCTTTGTCATTGATCGCTCAACTCTTCTGGCTGCACCTCGACATTTCCTTGCCAGAAAGAGGACTAGAATCATCACAGATCCTGGCTCGCGTCCCCGAGCTTCTGCGCCTCTTTGTCTTGCATGCCGGCTTGCGGCACTGGCGTGGCTCCATCGGCTCCGTCGGGACAGTGCCAGAGGCAGAGCTCGAGATGCTTCGCGTGCTCCACGTGACGGAGGGGAGAGTCGTCGGCAAGCTGAGGTCTCGGCTCGCAGAGCACCGGAACGATTTCAGCCGCTGCGATGTGTGCTGTTCCGATGCAACCTGTCCTCATTCCGAGGGAACCGTCCAGGGGCTGTGTCCTGCTGACACCCGCTTCGACGCCGTTCAAGACTTGCGAGATCGGCTCTGGTCGCGAGCAGCCTCCGTGCTGGATGCACTCGACGCCCATGCCGAGCAAAGGCCTGGAGCTGCGGCTTGGAGCCCAGTACTCGGAGACTCGCGGGAACTTGGGCCAGTACTCCGAGCTGCGCTTGTGCCTGCACTCGCCATCCGTCCAGGTGCCGCCAGGCGCCTCCCAATTCATCTCTCGCTTCCCGTACTGTGCTGCTCTCAAGGCAGAAAGGCATCGAGGACGATGAGCGCGGTCGTTGATCGAAGAATCGAACCTCAGGCGATGAGGTCGCACGGGAGCGGACTGCCAATATGACCCACAAGGAGGAAGTGGAGCCCTCCCAGCCTGTTCCCGCCCACGATTCCTTGCTCGCATCGTTCTCTAGTTCATCCAAGCAGTGAAGCCAGGATGCTGTGGACGGCCGGCAGCCTCAACTGATGGAAGCAGCTGGGAACGATTCGAGCGGGAACAGAGTTCACAGGTGCTGAACTTCTCCTCCTGCGCCTATCACCAGGCCCTGCTGCGAATCTGTACCGGGGAGGGAGTATTCCGTGCTCGGAGGTCGCGGATTTCGTTTACTGCCATGGCCAGCAGCGGCAAGACTGGCAGCTGTTCAGCGCCGCTCGCATGCTGCAGCAGGCCCGGAAAAGGCCCGTGCTTGAATCCTCAGCGCAACTACTAACACTGCTCTGTTGAGAAGGCGGGCACCTTGGTGCTACTTTGCACAGGGTGCAGTTCGGCATGGCCGCTGCCTGAATGCAGCAAGTCCAGAGACAGGTGCACTCATGCTTTCGGGAAATTTGCATCGGGTTGGGAGGATGCCGGGGCATTGAACCAGTCGGTCCCAACTCTAGGCCTTTACCCTTCACGCTTTCAGCCTTGCGCATACCTCAGTTTTGGCCGTGGCCACTCAACTGATCTCAACTGAGCATGGTGCGATGGTGCTGGCTACACTCAGGTGGCACAATCTGTACCGGTCGATGGATTGGGCCGTCAAGACCATGGAGGCAAAATGGCCGGACGGGCAGCGCCACCATGGCATGTAGAGGCTTAGCAAACAGCAAACAGCATGCACTGATGGCTTGCGCCGAGATGGCCCAGACCGGGCCTCCGTCGCCAGGTTCTGCTGGGCCATGACCTCGGCGCTCGGTGGGGGCTTTTGCAAGTCGCTAGAAACGACCTGCAGTGGAGGCTGTTTGTCCGGGCTCTGAGCAGCTGCCAGATCTGGGAGACGGAGGCAGACCTGAGAAAAAACATACAACGGCTACAACGGCTAAGTCTATCGGACCCGATCGCAGGAACCTCAGACTCTCTCCATGGATCCAGAGCGGAAGCCGTGGCTGCCGGATGAAGCTGAAGGCAAGTTGTTTTCCACAGCACTGGCAGAAAGTGGTTAAGCCCGGCTCCCTGACGCTAAGGTTGGAAGACATGTCCCCTCCGGCTTGGGCCAGTCCAGCTTGTGAAGGGAAAGCTGCAGGCGCTGGAGTTACATCAACAAACCCTCGCGGCTCGCGGATCCCAAGACGGAGCGACCAGGTCGATGTTCGTCGGTTTCTACGCCAGCCGCTGCTTCAGGCGTTGCTCTGTACTCCCTGATCCGTTGTCTGCGCATGGGGTACGGTGCCGAGGCATGCCACGCCGCGGTGCGATACCGCGTGCATCGCATCGTCATGCAGAGGCATACAGAAGGGCTTGCGACCGCCTTGAAGGCAGCGCTCCGGTTCCGCATGCAGACAGTCTTGGCCACCAGGTCCCGGGCACTCCAAAGCCAAGATGGCACGCTTCTCGTTTTGCCACTAGCAGATTTGTCCGCACCCCCAGTTGGCAAATCGTCGGTCATGTGATGTGAGTCATGGAGCTTTTGACACAGTCGCGATGTTTTCGCTACGTGGCTGCTAGGCTGTCACCTGGATCAAGTCAGGAACACTTTGACAGACATGGAGTCAAGCAGAAGCAACAAGGGCTCGGGCCGAACGCAGGAGTACCAGTCAACTCGTAGCAATGCTGGAGGCCTATACATGCGTACTTGCTCAACGTCTCTCGTCACTAGGCACTCGTCATGATTAGTCCAACCCATCGAATGGCCTCGCATGCCTGAGATGTTGTGGTGCCTGCGAGTCCGTGTCACATTTTTCCATGTCACTCGACTACGGACGCTTCGACAAAGTGGTCGACGAAGACGGTTTGGGCTTCTCAGCAGGCAGAGAGGAAAGGAGACAAAAAAGCGTCACCCAGCATGGAAAAAACGAGCAAAGGCGAGCCTGAGCTGGCGGAACCTTCCGATGCCAAGGCACGTCACAGTCGCAGAGAACAGCAGAGCGAAGCTGTGAGGACGGAGACGCTGTCAGGTCAGCGTTCTGCCGGCCGTTCGCAGCCAGAAGGCGAGGGCCGACCGCGAGGCTGCCAATGGCAACCTGCGAGAAGCTTTGAGTCCCAGGCTCAGCAAAGGGCTCAGCGGAGCTTTCAAGCGGAAGTTCCGCCGCGAGCGGAGCCTCCACACGTGCGCCGGACCGAGGGCTCTACGACGACGCCAGCGCGATCCTTCTCTCCCTTCAGGACTCGCTGTGGTGCTCTTCAGCGCCCTTTCACCTGCGACGGCTTTTTTCGACTTAGGGCTAGGGATTCTGCACCACTTCAATCGAACGGGCTCACCGATGACAGATAGGAAGAGAACTTGGGGATGTCAAGCCGTCGCCGAAGGGAAGGATTGCATGATCTTTCGTACTGCAGTGCAGGGTCCAGGGTCTTTACCCGTCCGCCCGTCCGCTTGCACAAGGATGCGAGCTCGGAGGGCGCCCTGAAGGCGACAGACTTGACTCCACATCCACAATTTCCACAATCTTGATGGATGTCCAATGATGTCCACAATGCTACCGTTACTACCGGTGGTCTCACGAGAGTCTGCAAATGTCTGCATCGTTTCATGCCCGTCGATCCGAAGGCCGTTGACCTACGAGTGGAGGCGCTGAGCATTCGGCTAATGGCAGCCAAGGCCCTCTCCTTGCTGGGCGATCCTTGGCGCAGAGGCAACAGGTTTTACACACGTGTCTTCTCCGGACTCCGTACTGTCGCGGGCCAAGGACTGGTTCCAGGCTCGCAAGTCGAGGCGCAGCAGCCATGGGGCCGTGCCGGATGTTCCTGTGAAGGCAGAAGCCCGCGCGAGCAAAGCTCTCGAGGCGCGCTTGCACTGTCGGTGTTGGGCTGTTCAGGCCTGCTCCGGCCTTGGCCTTTTCTGCTGTCTCTGCAGGCGGCGACGTTCTGCCCAGGACATGGCGAGGAGCTCACGGAGCTCACGGAGCTGGGGATAACTTCCGAGGTGCTAGCCCGAGCAACCCCCTTCTCGCACACAGCTCCCGGAGAACTGTCTGCAAGGCATCAAGTGAAGGAGCCGCAGCCGCACTGGGATTGCGAAGCAGCGTGACAGTGTGTACTGTACATGGATGGCATCCAAGGGACTCTGGTCCACCGAGATGCTGCCGAAGCACTGCTTTGTCGTGCAAGGGCGCGACTCAAGCTCGGCGATGCAGCCGGGGCGCGCGAAGATGCCGCCAAGGCTCGAAACTTGTTTGGCCCCTTGGCCGCTCGCAGGCACAAGTTCACGAATGAGGAATTTAACTGCGGAATGCTGTCGTGAATTTAGTTGCAGAGTTGAAAGGTCAATTGCAGGACCAGCTGAAGCAGGCATCATCGCACAGATACGGATTCAGACATGCGTGTGCCTTGCCCATGATGCCAGGAAGCTGCTGACGGATTCTTGATGCAGGCGTCGGTGTGTTCCGCAGCTCAACCTTTGGGCTTCCGAGCTGGTGGGCTTGCGGCTTTCAGGCTCAGATGGTCATCGCCGCGAGTGGGCATGACCCAAAGACTTTGAGCCAGAGTTGCGAGAGCCGGGCTTCAGGAAGGGCGACGTTCGGTCTTCTTCGAGCAGGTGTGCCATCGTGTGCAGATTGTGCCTGTTTGGGTTGCGAGGACCCCTCGCAGAAGAGCTTGGGCAGCTGCAGGCTCGCAGTGGCTGCCGGCTGGTGTGCAGAGTGTTGCTGTCGTTGGTGATAGGATGTGGCCCCGGTCTGCAGCCTCCCTCTTTCCAAGATGACGCTCCGCTGACAGTAAGAAGCGGTGCCATTGTGCTTTGTGCGCATGCCTGGTTTGGCAATGCCTGGCTTGAATCGAGGCCGCGACCGGAAGACTTCGTCGGGCTGTTGGAGGAGATGGACTGAGGGCAGAGCTCTTTGAAAGCCGCAGAGGTCGTCACAACTCGGCTTCTGTCAATTGTGAGACAAAAAAGAGAAACATAAACATCGTGACTTGCTGCCTGCCTGTTTGGTTTGCAAGTTTCGCCTGGCAGTTTGCAATCTTTCTCAGGTCGTTTCACGTCTCGGTTGCCTTCAGAACGTGGCTGGGAGGCCTTTGCCGCGCATGAGTATAGCTGCGCGGCGGGGTCATCGCACACAAAACTCCATATCCGTTGCTCAGCCCGAAAGCAAAAGGCGCCCTGCTGTTGGTGCACCATCTCCTGGGTGGGCCGGAGAAGGTGACACTGCTCCTGGCGGACCATGATGAGGCCGGGCCGACGGCTTTGCTGTGGCGTCTTCCGCATCTCATCGTCCTCCCTCCGCTGTGACGTTCAGGTCCAGGTGTGACTGACATGTGTGTGTTTGTTTAGAAGAGCAAGGTACCGCAAGGTGCCTCCGAGAGCAAGGGAGGTAGCCTAGCATCAAGCACAGTATCCAGAAGTTGAAGTACCAACCCATCTAGGAGTCATTCGTGGCCAAGAACAGAATAAAGTTGAGCCGCAGGAGGTTGATTGAAAGCGCAGCCTAGTATTCCATAAGAGGCCATGCAATCTCTTTCAAATGGCTTGTCTGTATGCTTCCTCCATCGAGCAATCGACACCAAGCAGCACAGTTCCGGTTGGTGTTGGGGTGCAGGCTTCGACTGCGGTCCAACTGGCAGCCTGAGTTTTCGGTGCGTGGCCTTCCAGGCCGAACCATTCTCCAGTCTGCCCCGTGCAGTTCGGTACGGAGGTCCGAGTGTTGACGCCTTTGTGCCTTTGTCAAGACTGCCTGATTCGAAGACAGTTGACGGGAGGAAGCCATGGCGGCTTTGGTGCCAGGAGTCGCCGCGGCAATCTGAGCCCGTCGGGCTGGCATGACCTTCGCTTGTTGCTTCGGATTCGGTACTCGTGTTGTCACGCATCTCGAAGCCTTTGATTGCGTGCAGGCTGCTGGGAATGCTGCCGGCTCTCTAGCACTTCACGTGCTCCACCCTTCCTCGTGCTGATGACCGGTGCGTTTCTAAGGTCCCATTTTCGGGTGCTGTGGCTCTCTGAAGGTGGGAACTTCTTTGCAGACTGCTGCAGACACAATGTTGCTCCGGGCTGGGCGGCTTCACAAGCACGAGGGTTGGTCTAAGATCAGGTTCCAACGCTCGGTTCGCAGATGCAGTGAGGTCCTTGGCAACTTGCCCTGATCGACTCTGCCCCAGTCTTCCCCGCATGAGGTATGGGGATTCCCAATCCCTGGGCTGATGCACGGTCGGAAGACCGAGGACAAAGCTTTTATTGTGAGTTTCGTGACCTGCCGTGTCATGGTTCCAAAAGGCTTGATGCGTAGACAACTGCAGATATTATGTCAATGTTGGCGCTTGCAGTACGACTGCAGTGGCAGTTTCTGCTTCGGGCTCCGCCGCCTTGCTCCACTGGGCCAGGTGTGCTGTGAGCTTTTGGCAATGCTGCCTCCACTCACATGAGCGTATCTGGGCGAGTGCAGGCAGTAACCTTGCGGCCAGCACTGGATGACCTCTGCGTCCGCCCTGCAAGGTGCGTCAGACGTGGGATGGTAGGTGCCCACTCGAAGCTGCGCGTTCCTGCGAGGCCGAGGAGGCGAATTCACATGCTCCTGGTGCAGCGTTGGGGGCCCTTTTAACGAGCACTGCGCTTGTTCTTGCAGCCGCGTTGTTCTCTCTGCAGGTCCGAGGCATCTTTCGCGGCGAATTCGAAACGCGAGACTGATGGCCATGGCCTTTCAAGAGACGACCACCCGGCTCTGCGTCGCATTGCGTCGGGCCGTGTGCTTCACTAAGGCCAAGTTGTGGCAGACAGCGCATGCCTCTCAGCTAACCGCAAGAAGTGTCAATAGGGCAGCAAACGGATTACAAGGTTCCCGCAGCTCGTGGTCGAAATCTGGCGTCCCGAACTGCACCCCATCATGGAGCAGGTCAAGCTGACGAAAAAACTCACCTCTGCGGTTTCCTGGCCTTGGGGAGGTGAGCCGTTTGTCACACGTGGAGGCCCTGGCAGCTGTTACTGGGCAGGTGCCTCGATATGGCCGCAGACTTCCATTGAGCCTTCCCACCAGCTTTCCCAGAAGCTTGGTGCACGCGGCATGGAGAGGCTTGTGGCTTGGGAGCCTTCCTTCACAGAGGCTCCGTCTTGCTGGAGGCCATCGCTTGCGCAAGCCAGAACTCCAGCTCACAGCACGGATGGACTGCATAGAGCTCTAGGATGCTCTCTCAGACGAGCTTACCTGCCAGGGCTGCGCTTTTTTTTGCCTTTCGCCTCTTGTCCAGTTTACGCCGGCGCTGGATGGCTATGGCTGCCAGGTGGGCCGCCCCGTCTCGTTGAGAACCGCGCATGTGGGCTTTGCCGACTGCTCGCTGTGGCCAGGATATGAACCCCACAAGCGAGGCTCCACTTCTCGGCTTCTTGGCATTTAATGACGACGCAGTATGCCAGGTAGGACAAATAGCGCGGCTTGCAGAAATTCACCATCGTTGCGTGCTGGCCTTACCCGAAAACCCACGGGGTTGTGCCATCCATAAGACCAGCAGCAATACCTTTGGATGCTCCCTAAAGGTAACGTCCACATGTGTGGGTGTTGCTGCAAATACGCCGCTGCCGGCAAAGCTGTCAGAACCTTAAAGAGTGGCGTCTGCGACAGAGGCACTGCAGTACCCAGACCCGTTGAAACCTGTTTTCGAACACCAGATCGGCCGAGCTGGCGTTGCAAAGCCGAGCGACAGCAGGACGGCCAGGCATTCTCACTCAAGGAAGCACTTGCAGTCGGGATATGCATCCGGAACCGGGTAAGTTTGTGGCTTCAAACGCGATACTTGTCAAAGGAGCGCACGCTCGCAGATCCTGACAGAAGAACTCCCGATGAGACGTTCGTAATTTGCTGTGCGCAGGAAGTGCAGACCCATTGCTTCTCGCAGAAGCAGGCTTAACATGGAGAACGGCGGCCTTTGCCAGAAACTGATGCTGTACCTTGTGAGTGCCGGAGAGCAGCTTCCGAAGCCCAGGTGATATTCCCGCCTCTTGGAAGAGGCTCCGAGTCGGCTCCGAGCCTCTGAGCATCCCATGCAGCACTCCAAGCGCTGACATCGTCTAGGCCTGTGGCGAGTGCTCGCACAGGCCGCCTTCCCCTCAGCTCAGCTTCTAGAGGGCAGCATCGTCAAATGCACCGCATCTTGAGGTGCATCTGGTTCTTGCTTCACGACTTCAGTCAGATGCTTCTGTGCTGGGAGATACTGGGAGCAAAAAGGGCGCGGATCCGGTAGGGAAGGTTTGTGACCACCAGCACCGGAGCACCTGAAATGCAGCACTTCGTGCCCCAAAGTTTCGGCACAGTAAGTGTGCTGCAACTGCTTGGAAAGCGGTTTGCTGTGTGTGTGTGTGTGTGTCTGGCGGCGAGTGGGTGAGTGAGTGAGTGCGTGTGTGAGAGAGAGAGAGAGAGAGCCCATATGCTTGGGAGAGGAAGAACAGAGAGAGAAAGAGACACTCTCGCGTTTCAGTGAATCGGGGGGATTGTTTGAAACCCGACACTGTAACAAACTTCTCACACCCTCTGAAAACCCCATGAAACTTGGTGGGGGGTTTGACAGACCCCTCATGCCCTGGGGAAGAAGAGCGAGTGTGTGTGTGTGTGTTTGAAAATACTGAGTCGCAGACTACATTGGAGGTACTGCTGCAAATGGGAATTACTCCGCTGACCTTTGACGGCTATGCGGTGAAAAGCGTCAAACTGCAGCATCCTCAACCCCGCATGTGTGTCTATGCTCAATGTTTGTTGATGGAGTGGCATCTGTAACAGCATCTCTTGGATGGAGGTGGGGCCTGATTTGCAGGGTCAATCTGCCTCGTTTGACTGGACTGTGTCTGAGCGTCTCCCAGATGAATTTGTGCAGGCATGTGGCCATTTCCATCGGGACTCATCGAAGGTGCATGTGAGCTGACGCCAGACGCATGTTGAGGGGTGCTGGTTGGCGATTGCAAGGTGTTTTGCCCAAAGTGTGGCAATGACACGGTCGTGCGAGTCCCGATCGTTGTGGATGAGGCGCGGGTGCAGCCTTCTGATTCTGTCACGCAGTTTTGTCAGAGAGACTTTATCACTCCAAGGACGGTGTTCCTACCGTGGTCAATTCTGGGAGGAAGCTCAGGAGCCTGTTGAAAGACCCGAGCAATGAGCTGTGGTCCAAGCCCTCCCTGGCCTGAAGGACAAAGGGTACGGTGTTCTCCATGCCCAAGCCGCAAAGTGGCAGGGTGTGGAAGCCGATTTTCGCAGAGGACAGAGTGTGATCAGCTTTAGTGTCGTCGGGAGTGTATGGGTTCGTCTTGACATTGCTGTACGGGTATTGGATCAAAGTATCGGCCCCCATGCACGCAAGCAGGCAGTATCACGAGGGCCTGCTTTCGCAGCAGGATGTGCGAAGGGATTGTAGGCATTGAAGCGTTCTCAAGTGCATCGTACTCCAAGTAGTGTGTGCAAGTTTTCCTGCACTCGCATTGCCAACATGGCGATGTCACCAAAGGCCGGATTCTGAATGCAGGTTGCTTCAAACCAAGAAACAGCTTAGCTGCCCGTTCGTGCAGTCTCCAGAAAGAGCTCTTCTGAGCAAGACTCAGCGCATTGTCGTTGGGAGCTCATTTTCAGAGGGCGGCTTTTGAGGCGGATCTGCTGCGGGGAGGTGCAAGTCGGCACCGCATTTTCCACCGCCTCACTCTCTCACTCTCTCTCTATTTCTAGGCTCTTGGTGGCGAGCGAGCAGCCACCAAGCAGTTTTTTGAAGCCCGGGTCCTCAGCGGAGCATGGCAGCTGGATGCCGATTGTCTATTTTTGGCATTAGCCCAGTGTTGGTCGGACGGCCAAGGGAAATCGCTGGGTCGGCGGAGAGGCCATGATCCTGGGACTGCTCCATAATAGGTCTTGCCGAGCACGCTTTAGACAGGAAGCCGAGATCGATTCGGATCTAGTCCGACGTGCTGGCTTGTTTTGATGTGGCAGCATGCTCGTGGCTCGACTCTGTCAGTCATGCGCGCACGCATGGAAAGACAGGTCAGTGTGTGGAATGCACGGAAGCCGGCAAAGTGACGGACTTGCCGCGAGCCAAGATTCTTGATACATGGCGAGCCTCGGAGTCGCCTCTGCCCCAAGGAATTTTCATTACAAGTTTTTGCCCGGAGCCAAGGCCCCTTGAAGAGAGAGTGGTGCTGTCTGATCATGCGGCGATAAGGAGCAAAGTCCAGGGCCTCCAGGATCATGTCACAAGCCTACGCAGTTTGGATCTCTCCTCGTGTGGTGCTTGGGATGCGCTTGCTGCACTTTGCAACTAGAAGTGTCAAACAAGTTGTCCGTATGAGATAGAGGAACAACATCAGGGTCATCGAGAACCTGGGGCCCATGATGAAGCTGCGAGAGTTGAAGTCGCATGCTTGGAAGCGCACACTTTGGTAGAGTCTCCCCTGTTTGCATATGCTGCTTGCCAAGGCTGGACAGCTGTCAGATTTCGCGCATTCAAGGGCTGGAGAAATGTCCCAGTCTCGAACCTGGACTTTCGCTTGTCAGTCATTTGATTGTATGAACACACCATGTGGCCAGTGATATCATATACATCTAAATAAGTATAGCTTTTTGAAGGGGTTTCGCGTTTCCATGCACATGATCTCCACAGGTCTCATCTCTCTACACTTAGAGGACAACGAAATCAGCTGCGTGGAAGGCTTGACTGTGTGCATTCGCTTGCGCCTGTTTGTCTTGCTGGCTCTCTCCTCGCTCTCTCTCTCTCTCTCTCTCTCTCTCTCTCTCTCTCTCTCTCTCTCTTCCTCCCTCCTCGCTCTCGCTCTCGCTCTCGCTCTCGCTCTCGCTCTCGCTCTCGCGCTCTCTCTCTCTCTCTCTCTCTCTCTATTTATATGTTTATGAGCGTAAACACACTTATGTCAATGTGTTCTATACTTCTCTATATGTGAACACCTGTTTGTTCAATATATGTACACAAGTGCTTGAAGCAAAGCACCCCACAGCAGCAACCCTATACCCCAGACCCCACTGTCATGATTGGTTTATCAAAACGCCGCCCCAATATGTGGACCTACTCTTTCGAAGGTTGTATATAACAGTATAAGTCATTGCTATACGGACTAAGAGAGATATCGCCGAAGTGTCGTCATTGTGATTGCCTTGTTAGACTGTGAACTTTCCCTCAACAGCTCCTTCGAAAACACAAACCCTCAAAGGGCCCAGACACCCGAGTAGGAGCCCTTAGCCCTTCAAGGGGACCCTAGTATAGAAACCTAAAGTACCCCGTAAAGGAGCCACCCTAAACCCTAAACCCTAAACCCTAAACCCTAAACCCCAAACCCTAAACCCTAAACCCTAAACCCTAAACCCCAAACCCTAAACCCTAAACCCTTAGCCTTAGAGTCTTAGAGGAACCCGGGGGGCCTGAAGCAACCTCCTGGCGGCAGCTTCATAGAGATGCCTTTTGTAGGCCCGGCGGCCATCAGAGTCGCAGCTGCCGCCCGATCCCATGTCGGGCTTAGGGTTTGGGGTTCGGGGTTTGGGGTTTAGGGTTTGGGGTTTGGGGTTTGGGGCTTGGGGCTTGGGTTTGGGGTTTGCGGAATTGGGTTTGGGGTTGTGGTTCAGGGCTTTAGGGCTTGTCAAGGTTTACGGTTTTGTTGCCCACTCGCATCTCGGCATTACCAGGGAGGGTGAAACGTGCTACCGATCAGGTTCGCATCGTTTTGAGGCTTGCTGGGCTTTCGGGCTGTCTTCCTGCTGTCTGACTTGCACCGATGAGGAAGCGGATTCTCCTTTCCAGAGGCTTTCGGCTATGGTTTGCCTGCAACACGTGAAGCTTTTTCTAACCCTGGTGCGACCATCTCGCGTTACTGAGGCTTGAGCCTATGCACACCGAAGCCTTCGAGGCTGCTAGGTGATGTAGGTCCCTGATAGATGACACCAGTCTAAGTTGTCCAAGTGGCTTGAATGTTAGGGCGCATGTTAAGGGGGATGTTTAGTAATCAAAGACCTCCACCAGTGCTCTCACTGCCAATGTCAGCTTATACCATATGTGCAGGCTGAATACCTTACCATACTCCTCGCATATCCCTGACGTAATAGTAGCTTGGCTTCCTAGCTCTGGTTTGGATTGGGGTCTTACTTCCTTGGTAATGATGCTTAGGCACTGCGAATGGGACACCGGTTCCAAATTCTAAGCCTAGCAGAGCCTTGGCCCCATAAACCATCGATTTGATGCGAACAGAGGTAAGGCGGCCGAAGGGTCTCCGGATGCGAATTTTCTAGATTTTTGCCCAGTCCCTTTAAAGCCTAAACATACTCCCTATTTTTTGTGGCGAGCTGACGCAACGTTAAATGCTGCGAGCCCACAAACCGGAAGTGGAGTCCATGATGACTTTGAAAGCCAACGACAGAGGCTTAACCGATCCCCTCTCGAATCACAGGACGCTACATCGGTTTAGTGTTTAGTGTCTAGGGTTTTAGAGCAAACCGTAAACCCAAAACCCTGAACCCTAAACCCTTGAACCCTAGACCCCAAACCCTTGACAATACCTGCCCGCCACGCCCACCGGGCTCGTGAACCTGCCTCCAACCCACGTCTACTCGCCCTTGAACCATCCCCCTGGGTTCGGCTAAAATAAATAGAATAGGGTTTTGGGGCCCATTATGCTATACTCATTAAAGGGAGCCCCCAAAATGGTATTGGTAATTAATTTAGGCCCCTACATTATACTGCGGTTTAGGGCTTTTTGTTTGCGCTCTCACAGCAGGCGAGATGTCACAGAGTCAGGTCGGCGTGATACATTGAACAGGTGCCTTCAGGGTTTCTTGCTTTGGGGTTTGGGTTTAGAGATGTTTAGAGTTTAGCGGGGACCCTAGCAAAAATGAATACTTTTGACGGTTTCTGAAGGATTAAACAACCAAAGATTAAGAGACACGAGCTAGGTTCAGGGCTGGAGGTTTAAAGGCTAAGGGCTTCGCGGGTTACGCTTCAGGCTCGGGGGGCTTGACGAGGCCATTTCGGGCCTTGCAAAACCTGAAAGGCTGCGTGGGTGCCCTGTGGGCTTGGCTTGATCCTCATTGCCAAAAAAAATCACGCGCTCCTCTTGTGGAACTGCCCAGGCAGTCGCTGGGATCTGTAAAGAACCGTTCACCTCCATGCCACGACCTCGGTGAAGTGAATTCTGATCCGATAAGTTGCAAGTAGCACCAAAGCGAGGCTCTTGCAGTACCACGGTTTAGGGTTTAGGGTTTCGGTTTAGGGTTTAAAGACCACGGTTTAGGGTTTAAGGAGGGTTCTGCTTTCTAGCCTGGGTTTTGCTTGACAATAGGGTTCGGCGTTCATGCCAGGCGGGGTTCTGAGTGCTTGGTCGGTCGGAGGTGAAACCTTGGGTTGCTACCTCTTTTTACCCCCGGCATCTGAATTGACTAACCCGGACCCTTCAAGCAAAAGAAGCCTAAGTCCTAAACCCCAAAGCCCAAACCCGAAAATCCAGCTCTTTTCGCTGAGACCTAACCCGTAAACCCCTTGAAGCCCCTTAAACCCACACCCCCTAAAGCCCCCGTAACGCCCCCATACTTTGGGCCACCGGGGCACAACTGTGCTTTTTGTCGGCTATGCGGTCCACTCTTCCATGGGTCGGCCCTCGGCAATCTGCTTTCGGATGTAGGCCTCAGAATTTTTGGGAAGGTGGTTTAGGGCTTGCTGGCACTATATGGGGGTTGATGAACTTTACTCCTCAGAGTTCCCTGGTGACGTGTCAAACCCCGCAAACCCTACCCGCAAGCCAAATGTTCAAGCATCCAGAGAGTTGTTGTTCTTCTGTTTGGGTGGTTCCAGCTTCTTCTGCTATGGCTGCAGCTGCTAAAAAGCGACGTCGACGATGAAGATCGCTGTTCTCTTCCCAGCTAGGGTTTGGGGTTTCGATTTGGGGTTTGGGGTTTATAGGGCTTAGGGTGCAGGGTCTCCAGAGAGATGGAGTTACAGAGAGGGGTTGAGTGCTCGTGGTTCTACTCAGGTCCTTGCGGGCTAGCAGGTTCTGTGAACCCTGGAGGCGATAAGAAATCGAAAGCCGTAGATCGATGCGTTCTTGCAGATCTGAACCCCTGCACGCGCCCTTCTGAGAAGAGTCTAACGAGAGCCCAGTTCAGGCCCTTACATAAACCCTTAGCTTAGCGCTACCCCCCACTAAAAAAAACTACCTACGCCTGCACTCCTCTGGGCCCCTCACCCGAAAACCCGAACCGAAGGCCTAAACCCTAAACCCAAAACCCTAAACCCAAAACCCTAAACCCTGAACCCAAAACCCAAAACACTGAACCTGAAAACCCCAAAACCCAAAACCCTCAACCCTAACCCAAAACCTGAAAACCCCAAAGCCCTAAACCCGAAAATCCCCAAAAACCTAAAACCTGAAAACCACCCGAAAACCCCAAAAACCCTGAACCCCAAGCCCTTAAAACACCCCAAGCCCCCTTTTGCCCTCTCGCGCCTGGAGGTTAAGACCCAAAAAACCCTAAACCCAAAACCCAAAAAATCCTAAAACCCAAGCCCTTTAAACACCCAAAGCCCTTTTGCCCCTCTTTGGCAGCGCCTGCGCGCCAAAACCTGAAAACCCAAAAACCCAAAAAAAACCAAGCCCTTAAAACCCCCCAAAGCCCCCTTTTGCCCCCAGTTGGCCGCGCCTGGAGGTTAAAATCCAAAAAACCCTAAACCCAAAACCCAAAAAAACCCAAAAACCCCAAGCCCTTAAAACACCCAAAGCCCTTTTGCCCCTCTTTGGCAGCGCCTGCAGGTTAAAACCCAAAAAACCCTAAACCCAAAACCCAAAAAACCCAAAACCCCCGAAGCCCTTAAAACCCCCCCAAGCCCTTTTTTGGCCCCTCTTTGGCCGCGCCTGGAGGTTAAAACCCAAAAAACCCTAAACCCAAAACCCAAAAAACCCTAAACCTCTAAACACCAAGGCCCTTTTTTTGGCCCCTCTTTGGGCCGCGCCTGGAGGTTGGCCCTAAACCCTAAACCCTAAACCCTAAGCCCTAAACCCTAGACCCTAAACCCTAAACCCTAAACCCTAAGCCCTAAACCCTAAACTCCCTAAACCCTAAACCCCAGGCCGCGCCTGGAGGTTGGCCTGCAGCTCTCGGCGCACGCGGTCGGCGCCCGCCTGGAGGGCCGCGGCGGCGGCGGCGCCGGTGAGGCCCTCGGCTTCCTCCCAGGGCTTCGCTTTTGGGGCTTCGGGGTTTTGGGGTTTCGGGGTTTTAGGGTTTTTTGGGTTTTTTTGGGTTTAGGGTTTTTTGGG